CCAGTCTGGGCACCCCTGTGTGAGCAGTGGTTCCAGTCTGGGCACCCCTGTGTGAGCAGTGGTTCCAGTCTGGGCCACCCCTGAGAAAGATGTCTGGTTCTGCCACTGATGCAAGCTAAGCAGGGTTGCTTGTCAGCACAACAGTTTGAAACATGTTTATGTAAATCAGTTCCCTGGAGGTGTTTTGGCATGCATGTCTGTTTTGACACGAAGACTTATGGATTACCTGAACCCCTGCAGCAGAACAGACCGCAGGATGTGTGTTTGTGAGCACACGTGCGTGCATGCACAATGGCATTGCCCTGATTTGTTTTTGTCACACTCAGGTTGTATTTATTTAATCTCCTACATCCCACTGAGATCACAGATCACTTTTTCAAAGGAGGCCCGGTCCTGAAGGCAGCCTAAACGCACAGTGACAAAACCGTAGTACCTGGAGAAAACCCACTCTGACACAAGGAGAACATGCAAAGTCCACACAGATAGACTCAGAATCTTCTAGTTCTAACCACTAATCCACCGCGTTGTCACATTTAAACACCAGCAGGATTTCTGCAGACACACTGCGTTCATTACACAAATTAAAGCTCTAAGAGCCACAAGTAAACCTGCAATAGGAACATTAAAGTAGACATATCCTGCTTTTAGTTCCTTCTTTTTCATATTTAAATCATTCAGTTGGGGTCTATATAAAGTGAAACAGCTCCTTATTGCAACTCCACAACCCCCCTCTTTCACCTCTTTTCTGAGGTGTGTCTCATTTTGAGGCTGTCTCTTTAAATCCAAATGAGGAGCTTCACACCCTGCCCCGCCTCCAGCTTCCAGAGCGGTCCATTCTAGTTTGATAGAGGGGTTCACGACTATACAGCAACACAGAAACTTTATTTACAAAAGAATTAAAATATGTCAACAAGAGACTTGTCCATCCAGCCTAACGTGTTGGAGGCAGAGTCTGACCAGAGCCAGAGGAGAATGAAGACGAGGAAATTGTAGTTGGTAAGTCCAGACCTTATGTCTGTTTTGTCACAAATACTTGTGACGTAATAGTTCAGAAAATTTAGTATAGAACAGAAAAAAATGAACTGGTTCAAAAATACAAGCCAAACAGAATATAAAAGTATCCTTGCGGGAGAAACTAAATTCAAATTTTATGCACATCCAGAGGCTCTAAATACACAACAAAATGCGTTTAATGGCTAAAAAAATAGATTTTATAGGCTCTGTCCCCTTTGAGATCTTTTAATAAAAAATAAAGCTGTTTTGTTGAGATCTTAGTGGAATTTTACTATTTTTAGTTATTTAGTTGTTTCTTTACTATTTTTATTTCGACCCCCCAGTGGTGTATCAAGGGAGTGCTTTAGTTTGTTTTCTTGGTAAACATGACCTGTTTATCCTCTCTGTTCTGTAAACCATTTACCCATGCCGCTCTACATTTATACATCTTCCAATTATTTGTGAAATGAACAGATTTTTTTCATTACAAGTTTTTCTTTTAATCTTAAATGTTTTTCTGCACACCCACGAAACCAAATTACAGAACATCCTTATCAATATTTAATGTTTAGATCAAATTACATGGAGTAAAAATAAAGTCCGAATCAATAAACTACCCATTTGTTTTACCATTACCACTCGAGCATGGCCACCCTCCCCCCCTCCTCTCTCTATCTTCCTCTCTCACCCTGCCTCACCCTGCTTGTCTCACCCTTTGCCCTCGCTTGCAGGTGGGCGGAGCAGGTGTCCAGAGTTGGCCAATAACAATCAGGGCGTCGCCCACTGTGACACGCCCTCTTTGGGGTTGGATAATGAGCAGGCTTCCGACAGCCGATTCGCCGGTGAGTGGCAACCTGTCGAACATGGACCAATGAGAGCTGAGGATAGAGGGAAGGAAAAGTGAGAGACGCATGAGTCGGCAGCCAGGGTCTAAAAGATTTAAGGTTTTCTGACTCATCAGTTTGTGTTGACAGTAAATCTAAAACTTGGGGTGAAAAAAATAAAGTTAGCGAGCATGAAGATCTGGATCCTCCCTTCTTTTTATTCCTTCACTTTGGTGTCGTGGTTCTTCACTGCTTTTTCTTTTTAGTATCAAACAGCTGTTTCCTTCCTCCTCCTTTCAGCTGAAGCCCTGGTGTCTTTGTCTAAAGTCTGAGTGCATCTTAATGGATGTTTGAGTGATTTCTGCATGCAGATTCCTTTTTTTATTCTTGTTTTTTTCTTTTTCCATTTGAGTGTGTAAGAAAACCTTTTGTGTTTCCCAAAAATTGGAGTTCATGTTCAGTGTCTGCCAGCTCTGTGCCGCTTTGCAAAACATCCGCACTTCATTCTCTCACCCTCCACCTCCCTTTCTGTCCTCTAATCCTTTTTTGGTGGGTCACTTTGAGAAGAGCTGAAAGTTTTCGTTGGAGCTACATTTTCTAAATTTCTGCTTTAATTCACTTTTGTTTTCTTATGTTGTCAGTCTGATTACAAAGGCTGTAACCATTGAAATAGAATCACTAGAAAGGCCAAACACAGTGCAGTTTCTGCTAAAAAAGCAAGCGTTTGTGCCGCCATCTTGGTAGGTGCTACACAACAGTAGTCCATGCATTTCTGAAAAAAAAAAAAAAAAAAAACTCTGCAAGGAAGCCCAGTAAATTGCTAACAATTTTCTAATTGTTGCAACCTGAACTCCAGATGTGGTTTTATTCATTTAGAAATAATTTATGCTATTTTCTTATATGAGGGTTTGTTTCTTTCTCTTCAACTTCATCAGCATAAAGCCTGGTACTACATTAAATATGTTTAAGATATTCCAGCTGAAATATTTAAAGTTCATTTTAATGCTGGATATCGTTAGCCTAATGGCATAATTGTCTAAGTTATATTTGGAAAAGGAGGGCTTAGGCAATTATGCTGTTAGACTAACGGTAAGCGTTTTGTTGCCACCAATACCTGTAGGGAGCACACTCCTGCCCTGATTGCATAATATGCTTTGTATAATTTAATAAAATAAGGTTGTTTCTTATTAAATTTAGGTTTTGGGCTGGTGATGCCTCATACAGGTGTTGACAATGTGTGGCTTCAATGTAAACAGTACAACGTGACGTAGCACCTAGCAAGATGGCAGACACAAATCTCACTTAGTTCAATGGATGTTGTTATGTGTTCCTTTTTTAGCGGTTATAACAAGATACATGAGGTGCAACACAATAAATAATTTACTTGAAAGTTAGAAAAAAAATGCCATAAAATCACATTTGATCAATTTTTACATCTTTGTCTCATTAGCATCACTAACTGGTTTTCTCAGCGCTTTTATGTTTGAATCAAATTAATTTAGTGTAATAAAAGACAAATTCTTAACTTCATTGTTTCCAATCTTCCTGAACAACCTTCAGCTCCACATCTTTCTCTGTGTTTTCCACCTCTTTGGTATTTTCCTGATTCCCCTTCATGCCCTTGAAGCCACATTTGACCCAGTTGGTGTTTTTTATGCCAAATCTTGTGACATGTTTTCCTATTTGTGTGTTGTAAAAGTTGTGTTATCTCTCTGTTTCTCTTCCCTTTTCAATCATTATTCACATCCTCTTTTGTTATTTATTTTTTTCCCCCTGAACATTTTCCTTCTTTCCTCTTTCTACTTCCCGTGTCTCTTCTTCTTCATATTTTTCCCCCTCTCTGGCTTTCTTTCGGATGGACAGATGAGGAGTCGTGCCCAGTGCACATTGAGGACTAGGTATGGAGTTATGGTTAGATGGAGGATCCGACTTCAGGGTGACAAATTCCAATTAGCTCTGCAATTGAAACGGATAAGCTGTGCTCTCATTTTAGCTTCCCATCATTATGTTTGTTTGAAGATTGCATGTTTTTCTCTAAAAAGTCCGTTTAGATGAGATGTTTAAGTAACTTTATTTAACATCTGCAGTAGCTGTGTAGTATTTATATTAGTTACAGCAAAAAAAAAAAACAATACATTGTGCAGATTTTAATCTCTCAAATTAGATTTTCTATTTTTTTTGTTGAAACAGTTTCTAATTAACAGACTTCATTACAACCTACATTCACTGCAGTTCTCCTCCTAAACACTAGGTGTCACTAGATTCAAAATAATAATCCTACACAGCTCGTATAGCATCAGATGAAACCAAGCACAAACTTTATGAGAAATGTAAATTGGTGTGAAATGACGTGTTTAAAAAGGTCACTAATACTTTGAAAAATTTTTTATCTGAGTCTGAGTGTTAATTTTTTTTGCAAACATTTTTCACGCTGTTCTTACATTTTGCTAATTTTTACTCATTTAAACAATAAAACATATGTTTAAATATTAAATCATAAATCTAAATGTGTATGGATGGTACATGTGGTCCAGCAGATTGAAGTGCATCTTGGACATCGGCCGCAACTGCAAGTTTGATATCTTGCAAGGAAGCTTTAGCTGCATTGGAGCGTTAGCGGTTGCTATAAGCCAAGCACCAACAGCAAAGGCTGCTTTCCATTACAAAATACTTAAACGTAAACTTAAATATTTAACTTCAACATTAAAGAATTAGCTTTTACATTTAGATTTAGGATTTAATGTTGACTGAACATTTGACAGAAAAACAACCCTTTGTGTCCATGTGGAAATTATGTAAGCATACAATCGTGCACCATATGTTGCTGAAACAAGTGAGGAGAATCATTCACTGAATTTCCACAATAACAGTCGTCTTACTTCTTATCCTTTTAGATCTCGTGTACCTGGGGGGCTATAGGCCCGTTCTGGATCCCCGCCCCCACCACATCTCCACCAGCAACATCAACCTGGAGGAGCAGGAGGCCGAGAACGGGAACGGCCAGAGCCCGAAACACCCCCGCCGCGGACCACTCATCGTGTAACAGCCTCGCTCCAAGTACTTCAACACCTCGAACCGGTCCAGAGTCAGCTTGTTCCCCCCACAGAGCTGCTACACTGGATTCTGTCCTCACTGAGCGTTCCAACCTTCCCCCCGACTGTTCACTGAAACCCCTCCTGGAGTGGAAATAGAAGGAAATCACCTCTGCATCATCGGTGCACTTTTAATCTCATGAGTTTTCCTCATTTTGGTGTCCGTGACCTAACTTGATTTAGGACTTATTATCCTACTGCTATTTAATTATTTATTACGTGTAGGTTTAATGAGAGCTGTGTATCGTGCCGGTATATTTAGGAGAAACAAGCTGCTCCTTCTTCACTTTTCCTTCCTACCGTATTACCAGCCAAACAGTCAGGGGTTACTGTAATCAGCAATCTGATTTATTTATAACTGCTATCTTCTTCTGTGTTACAAAATGAGGGACGAGCGAGTGGTCGGACATTTTGATGCTAAACATCAGCTCTCACCGGACTACCTTACCGAAGAAAGACGTGCTGACCCCGTTTCTTCGGATCAGGGAGCTTCAATCTGGACGTTGCATGCGATTTTCTTCTTTTCCTCTCGTTCCCACCATGTTTGAAACACCTGTGCCGAATGTAAAACCAAATGACCTAAAAAAACAAAAAACAAAAAAACATAGAAAACGCCACCTAGATTGTAGGATGACGAGCTTATAGAAGGAGAATGTACACGACCCCTTCATCATTATTTAAACTGGGATTTAATGCAAACGTTGCCACATATAACCCTCTGTTGCCATCCTGTCCTCTGTTTTAGCATGTCAGTATTAACGTAGTGCACCTGGAAGCAATAATAAAAAAAACACTACAACATCACCCCAACCCCAGCTCAGCTCCAGGACTAAAATGTGTTTGCACTGGCCTCTTATGTCCACCTTCAGATCTTTACGTGTGTTGAACTGTTTTTACATGTTGGAGTTGCCATTCTAAAAGGGAATTGTGAGGAAAGAAACTGTCTCTAGGATTTTCTTCACCCTCGTTTCATCACCTGTCTCTCCTCGTTTCGGTTAGTTTTTTTCTTCTGTTTTGGTTTTGTACACCTTTGACGTATATCTCACCTGTTCTTGATGCTTTCTGTGTTTTTTAATTTGTTGCAGAGCACTGTGTTGGTGATTAGTTCGTGAGTGGGGAAAAATATGTGAAAACTTCATAAAGGTTTACAAACATTCGACCAATCGATGAGGAACAATATCTACGTTTGATGCACTATTAGCTGACTCCGCGGTGACACACTTTGCGGCGCATGAGGCGATCACTTAGCGAGGGTTTTAGCCAACCTGCACCCCCGTATAGACTCGATAACGGACCTTGCACAAACATTAAGCGGTACCATATCCTTCTGTAGTGTTATATTTCGGTTGTCGCCGCCCTATACTATTGGCCTGCAAGGGTCAAAAGCTGTGCACTATTATAACCAAGCTGCAAAGAGTCACATGATCACAGTCTGAATGTACAGGCAAATATGTTCTCTACCAATCACAGTATATCAACAGAATCTGCAAAACCCCCACTTTTCTAGACTGAAAATGACCAAAAAAAAAAGACTTAAGACAATAAAGTTTTTGCAACTAAACAACCGAGTAATTTCCTGTTTTGGAGCTCGTCATTCACAAATGAATTTTTTTTACGTGTTTGGTTGATGAAAGACTTCTCATTCTTCTTTGAAGCTTCTGTGGGATTTTCCCTGTGCATGCTGGGAAATTTTCAACGAGCTACAGCTGAGGTGAGAGCCGATGTTGCCAATGGGTTTCTTCTCACTTGGGCTTCTTTGGACATTCTTTTGGTTGATTTTTTAAGAACGTATTCACAGAAATTTAATATCAAAGTATCGAATGACACTATGAAATATTGGTCAATGTCAACTGTAAACGCCCCAACTGGGGAAGAGACTGGTATTCTTATGTCTTTAGGACATACCCCCTCCTCCTGCCAAACAATCGGAGGGCTTTTAGCTGACTTTTGTAACGCACCTGAAGATATTTATCGGGGTTTGTTTACTGACTGGTTTTTAAAAGCACCACACATTTTGTAGTTTTTTCTTACATGAATAGTGATATAATTTTTATAAACTACTGTGTGATTGTTTTTTTTTTTGTGATTAAAATGATGATTTTATGTACAGACTGGTCTGGGTGACTATCACAAATGGTTACACAGAGCAGGAGGTACATATATGTAGATACATGCCTGTAAACCTTTACAACACGTAAATATTTTTACGTTAGAACTCAGTTTTCTCTGTTGTCGAAGGTTTCTGGTCACATGATAGGGAGTACCTCCATCGATGTGACAGCTTGCCTCTGGGGAGTGGCCAGAACCTGAAGGAGTTGTTGATAAGATGCTGAAACTTCCTGCCGGGGTCCAACCACGACTGATTAAATGGCTGAGGCTATTAGCCTAGCCGATGGGTTTGTATGGCTTCGGTTCTTACATTAACATTCAAGTCTTAATTCTGTATTTGTTGCCTTGTACGTTACACACATCTGAGTAACTGAACACAATATACAGTATTTAACAACTGTTGCAGCTAACCCAGACTCTCCCACCCCCAGACATTCTCAATGTGTTTCTCTTTTTACACATTTTCACTCTAAAAATAAGTGTTTCTCTAAAGCTTTATACAAATTATAAGTACAGTATCTGATTAAATGCAGTTGTGTGCCATACACTGTATACTGTATAGAGCTATTATATACATAAATAGTTCTACGTTTCAACACAGGTTGAGATTTGGGCTGCAAAATGTCAGATCTGGACACCCTGGATGGATCAGCTGTGCCATGCCGGGGAAAGAGCAACGATGGCAGAGTTTCTGGAGGAAGGTTAATGCTCAGCAACCCACTGCGAGACAACAACAACAAGAAGAAGAAGAACGTGGGTTCAATGTTTTTTTTCCACCTCATTTGAGCTATCAAGTTTCCCTTTAATCCAATTTCCTCAGTTGCTGCTGGCGGTTTCATCTCCTCTGTAATTGTGTGCACAAGTCACATGTGCAGAGTTAAAGCTACTTTATTATTGTTGCTGTTGACGACAAGCTGTAAAGTCACATTATCTCTTRCTCCAAATGGACAAATATCCCCCACCTGTCTTTTTATTTACTGCATGTTTTCCATTACCCCGTCCTAAATCAATCTGCCTTTAATATTAGCTGCCAAAAGAATTAAAGCAAAGTCTGATTTACAGCACATACTGTGCGGCTCCTCCCTCTGTGAGCTGATTATAGGTTATATTTGTTCTTGTGCGGAGGATTTCTGATGTCAGGTAGTGGACGTGTTCGCCCTCGGAGCAGCTTCTCACTGCAGAAATGATGCTCGTTGGTTTTCTCGTGCTGGTCGTCCTGACAGGCGAGTCGATTTAAAGTTTAATTTCTAAATCTGTATTTTCTGGTGTTTTAAATGTAGAAGTTACGTTTGTGTTTGTTTCTATTCTTTCTGCTGAAAGTTGTTTGTTAATGTTCATCAGGAGCTATTTAAATGAAGATTTTTTTATGATTGACAGTAACTTAAAAAAATATGAGGTTAGTTAAACCGTAAAACTCCAAGAATTTTGACTATCAATC